CCAGCCCTAATCCAAAATGCAAAATAAACAAGTAAAATAACACTCAAAACACAATCCTGGGAGGTGAGGGGGAGATGGGGAGGGGCACCAAAAGCTTAGATCTTCAAAGGCTATCATTAAAAATTTCTTCCTCACACTTAGACTCGCCTTGGCTAACAGTTAAGCTTATGTATTCTGGTTCTGTCCAGATACAGACATTATTCTCCTCTCTATATATGATATTTTTAATAAGAATATTTTTTACATGTAAAATAAAACATAAAACATTTTATATATAAGATAATTTTAACAAAATATATTTTATATCACATGTAAAAAATTATATTGTATACTTTAATACAACGATTTTATATTTAAATAGTATAAAAGCAAAATCTATTTCTATATAAAAGCTATAGATTTATATAAATAAAATAACAAATGAAGCATTTTATACTATTCTGGCAAATATTTAAAAATATTCCTAAATATAGGCTACTTAAGTATATTAAAATAAACCTTGATATTTAAAGGTACCAATAGTTCGATATTAAAATTAAGTAATTCCACTTAAATATTTAAAGCAATATGGAAATATCTAGAATGCTTAATTTCTGTATAAATAAGAGGTGTCATGAATGACTTTAAGAACCGCTCCAGGGATCTCTTCCCGCTCGGGCGTGGCTCCCGCTCTGGGGGGGCCACAGCGCCCCCTGCAGGCCACCCGCTGATCTGCTGTTTTCCTCCCGCCTGCAGGCATCGGCAAGAACGTCATCTGCGACCGCACGGCCACACCGCTGGACGCCTTCCGCATGATGTCTGCCGCCCACTACTACCCCAAGCTCATGAGCATCATGGGCAACGTGCTGCGCTTCCTGCCGGCCTTCGTGCGCATGAAGCAGCTGATCGAAGAGGGTTACGTGGGCGAGCTGCTGGTGTGCGAGGTGCAGGTGCACGGCGGCAGCCTGCTGGGCAAGAAGTACAACTGGAGCTGCGACGACCTGATGGGCGGCGGCGGCCTGCACTCGGTGGGCACCTACATCATCGACCTGCTCACCTTCCTCACCGGCCAGAAGGCCGTCAAGGTGCACGGGCTGCTCAAGACCTTCGTCAAGCAGACGGACCACATCAAGGGCATCCGCCAGATCACCAGCGACGACTTCTGCACCTTCCAGATGGTGCTGGAGGCCGGGGTGTGCTGCACCGTCACTCTCAACTTCAACGTGCCCGGCGAGTTCAAGCAGGACGTGACCGTGGTGGGCTCGGCCGGGCGCCTGCTGGCCATGGGCACCGACCTGTTCGGGCAGCGCAACGGCGCCCCGGAGCAGGAGCTGCTGCTGCAGGACGCCACGCCCGTGAGCAACTCCCTGCTGCCCGAGAAGGCCTTCAGCGACATCCCCTCGCCCTACCTGCGGGGCACCATCAAGATGATGCAGGCCGTGCGCCAGGCCTTCCAGGACCAGGACGACCGGCGCACGTGGGACGGGCGGCCCCTCACCATGGCCGCCACCTTTGACGACTGCCTGTACGCCCTGTGCGTGGTGGACACCATCAAGAGGTCCAGCCAGACGGGCGAGTGGCAGAACATCGCCGTCATGACTGAAGAGCCCGAGCTGAGCCCCGCCTACCTGATCAGCGAGGCCATGCGCCGGAGCAGGATGTCCCTCTACTGTTAGCACGGACTGGGGACCTGGAGCACCTGGCACTTGTGCATGGGGCCCGGAGAGGAGGAAGGGCCTAAGGGATAGGGGGGCCACGGGGACCGTGGGGGCGGGGGAGGTGGAGGGCAGTGTGAGTACATGGCATCTGGGAAGGTGAACCCGGGCCCAGTGAGGGACCCCAAAGCAGACTGTTGTTGGGCTGGGCCCCTATCCTGGCAGTATTCAGGAGGGCCTGCTGGGTATTTGCATGGGAGAAAGGAGGTTTAGCTGTCTCTACTGCCCTTATTGTGAGGAGCAAGGAGGGGTTCCTTCCCTTTTATCTCATCCACCCCAGCACCTGGCCTTCTTTGCAAGCCAAATGGTCCTGCAAGGTCAAGGCACTGTATCAGATGGCAAGCTCAGTGGCAGGGGAAGGCACGTCTTTATGTGTCTACAAAAGCCTGTTAGCCTGGGGAGAGGTGGGATGGGGGTGGAGCCTGTGGGATGGGTGGGGGTGGGCTGGTGAGGAAGTTCAAATTCCAGAAAGCCACTTTTTATTCTGCTTAAAGTGTCTGGGGGTGGGGGGGGGAGTACTTAGTAGCAAAGTGCACAGCTCTGTTGATAGGTTGGTTTTTCTAATTGGTTCATCACCCTTCACCTGGAGGGCTAAGGGAGGGTCGGGAATAGCCAACAGAGAGCAGGGTTCCCTTAAGCCACAAGGAGAGAGCACATGCTGCATGGAAACAGGTGAGGCAGAGCAGAAAATATCCCTTTGAACTTGTCAACAATTATAAAACTGCAAGCAGCCACCTTGTAACTGTTTCCAGTAAGGGTGGAATTGAGTGTAAGAGGGATTTGTTAGTGAAGTGTTGAGGTGGTCCTGCCACGTGGCTCTCTGGGCAGTGACAGAAAGCAGCAGGCGGTGTAGGTCTGACCACAAACTCACATGCTGCCCTCAAGGACTGGGGCAGCTGGGGGCCTCCATGTCACAGTGTGAATTCCCAAATGGGAGGTAAAGTGAGCCTAGCTCTGGAGTTGTTTTGAGCTCTCACACCCATCTCTCCTACCAAGCCGGGAAAGAGCTTTTTAGCAGATTCACCCAGCTTTGTGGATTTAAAAGAGAAAGCTTCAGTCCTACTCAGAATCCTCTTTCCTTAAAAAAGAGTCATGACTCTTTTCCTTAGCTTTGACTTTTGCTTTCAGGATTCCGACACCTGAAAAGAAACTGAATAGGCATTAAATGAAACAAAACAAAAGGAACATTATTTTCAGTGATTCTAAAATGGGGGGTTAGAGCCCTCTGAGAGGATACTTGGTGTTGAGATGCCTACTGTTGGAAAAAGCATATATTCTTTTTCTTGGTTTCCTGTCTCTCTTGTCTTCTCACCCGCTACTTTCAGTACAGACTGTGAACTGCAGGCTCGGAGCTGGCAGTGCCAAAAGGGAATGACTGGAGCCAGTTTCTCTCTCTCTCTCTCTCTCTCTCTCTTTCACGCACACATGCACACACGCACACACACATGCTTTTGTAAATGCTTGCTATCACCAAATGTCACTAAATTATTTCTTAAAAATTCAGATCTGGGGCCGGCTCTGTGGCGCACTGCTACAGTGCGCCGCTTGGGAGTGCGGTGGCGCTCCCGCCGAGGGTTCGGATCTCACATACAGACCGGTTCCGCTCACTGGCTGAGCGAGGGGCAGGCGCAGCACCGAGGGTTGCGGTCCGTTGCCGGACACGAAAAAAAAAAGACAAAAAAAAAAAAAAAATCAGATCTGGTCTTGAAAGACCAAGCCAAGTACAATTGGAAAACTTGGAATTATCCTTTTATCTCTTCTGAATCCTTCACCCCACATAAGACCTTTGTCAAGGATGGCTGTGGAGACTGTTCCTTGTAAGTCTGCAGTGCTTCTGTTCTCAGGCTCACGGAAGTCTAACAGGTGTCTTTGGTGTGCAACTGAGGTTTAGGCTTCTTTTCAGATAACCAGCAGTAGAACTAGAAGGAAATTTAAGAGGCCTAGAGTCCACCCCCCAGCCTATGAATAGGCAACATCAGAAAAGAAACAGTCCAATCAGTTGTATTTTCCTTCTCCTCCCTAGGCCACCCATAGGTGCAGCTGTGGTTGTGACAAACCCCAGGGCATATTGGCCATTTTCTAGTACAGAGTAGCAAGTATGGCCTGCCTGTAAAGTATCACCTCCCTTGCCGGGGCCTTCCTGATACCCAGCTGGGTCATTCAGCCAAAACTCTCCGTGGTTCATCGTGGTCCCCGATCTGTCGACAGACTTCGGGGTCAGCTTACCAGCTTTCACAGCTCTCAGCTCAAAACTGGAGATTTGCTGGAATGGAAGCCTCCTGGTAATAGTTTGAGCAGAGGGCCATGTCAGGGACTGTGTTGGTTCCCGTCCTCCTCACTTGCCCTCTGGAAAAGTAGTTTTTTGTGGAAACTGAGCAGAAAGATTTTTTTTTTTTTCTTAGCTAGCTGGAAAGGCTGTGATGAAGAATAAAGGGGAAAAAAGCTAGATGATTCTATGGGTCTCATATTTCTAAGTCATTTATAATCGAAATAGGAATATTCCTTGGGTTTCGATTTTATGTTTCTGTACTTAACCATTATACTTGGGAGACCTTTTCTCCCCAAAGGCCTCTGAGCTTTGTGATAAATATTGAGTGTCTAATACGAAAATCCTCATTTGAGGCTGGGGTCTATAGAAAGAATATATATTCTTTAAAAGAAGCATGAAAAAATACTTGAATAAATACACTCAAATTTCATGTTCTGAAATGCATGTAGTAGGTAGATGAAGGAAAGAGAGGAAGAAAAGCCCTAGATAGTTCATTTTTTTTAATATAAAAATCCCAGCAAATATGTTTGAGATACTTTAGTGCTCCATTTGCCCTTATCCTACACGTGTAAAGACTTGATTAGGAGCAGCGAAATGAAGCTGAAATCTCAAGCTTTCAACAACATTCTGCAGAAGGACTTTGTTTCAACCCAGCACCTCTAAGTGCACCCTCTGGGGTCTGGGTACCCTCCGCTTACAGTGAACTAGGACTGAAACGCAGCAATCACCCAGCCCCTTTCTGCTTTGTTGAATGTGTTTCTAGGGACTGCTGTACTGGAGGCAGCACTTGACCGTCTTCACATTTAGTCCCCCGTTGCCTGTTTTGTTCCCATCGTTGTGTGGACACTGTTAGTTGCCTCAGCAAATGTCTTAAATTCCAGGTTCTGAGCTAGGGCGTGGGTCAGGGTTCTCACCTGGTATCCACTAGTGTTGGGGAGTGCCCTGGGCTTATTTGGAAAGTTTGGAGTCTGTGAGTCGTGTTCTGGAGAGAGTGTGACCGCCATCATCTTCTCTAAGACTTCTTGCTTCAATGTGAGAATTGAATCATGGGGTACCTCAGATACACCTTATCCTACCTGGCAGCAAACACCACTGTGCCAGGTGTAACTGGACTCCCTAGGGGCAGTCTTGGCCAACTCTAAGACTGGTCGACTTCAAGATGTATCTGCTGCGTGCAGAGTATTTTAAGTACACTATCTCATTTAATCCAGGTAACTGGACTCCCTAGGGGCAGTCTTGGCCAACTCTAAGACTGTTCGACTTCAAGATGTATCTGCTGCGTGCAGAGTATTTTAAGTACACTATCTCATTTAATCCATAAAAACAACCTTATAGTATTGGGGATCATTACTCCCTTTTTACACATGGGTAAATGGAGGCTCTGAGAGGAAGAGTAACTGGCCCAAAGTCACACAACTATTAAGAAGAAGCAGAGTCACCAAATCCAAAATCTTCCCCCTCACCCACACCACTCTGCCACCCAAGAAGGAAGATCCAAGCCCCTGTGACAGCAGTTGTGACCCGCAACTCCACTCACCTGCTGTACACACCCTCCTGTTGGCAGGATGTGACATTTGGTGTTCTGCCAGAAGGTTAGTTACAGAGCTGCAAATAGAAGTAGTCGATTTTTCTTCCCCTTCCAAAATGGAAATATCACTCAGCGGCTTTTAACACTGACTTCCCAAGTTGATTTTGATTGTAGATGATGCAGCAAAGCTCAGAGTTGGGGATTTTCAAAACATGTTGGCTGACTGTTATTGACGGCCTTGGATTTTGCTCTTGCGGGTCTGAGTAAAACATAGGAAAGTGTCTTTTCTCAGGGAGTGGGGATTCTAAAGTTCATTTGTTTGTGACTCAGATGTTAGCTGTGCATCCATACCTTCACTTCTTCATCTTTTCTTGTAGCTGCAGCTATTGAATTGTGATCGTAAACTGAGTTTCTGATCTGATCTCTTTTATTATGGTGGTTATGGGGGGATAATCAGCTTTGCTAGTGATACTCTGGGGATAAAGTAAATCTAGTTGCATCTGAAGGGACTTCCAAGTCCAACAGGTTCAGTCCCTTCATTTTACACCCCAGAGAGGCTAAGGTCACCCACTTCTTTAGTGGTAGAGCTAGGATGAGAAGCCCAGTTTTCTGACCCTACGTCTCACCCTGCCTCACACAGCACCTTCAGAGCTCTCAGGTGAGAGAAGAGGCTCAGAGAGGTGAGAGGACTTGTCTGAGGTCCTGAGGCTAGTGGTGGAGAAGTTGGAATTAGAACTCAGACCTGCATTGGACTGTATGTCCTGAGCAGTCACAGGTAAATCAGTTTTGTTTTTTTTAATAAACTCAGTCTTGAATGTACTCAGAAAACTAGCTGTTTAAAATTTTCCACTGTGACTGTAACGTAAATAATGATCTCTAATTTGTATTTTATTTGGCAGGGACGGGGAATATAAATTCAGACGTTCACCTTTGGGATTTCCTGAGGCTGCTCTACTTACTCTGCCCCCACCCCACCCCACCCCTAGATACAAATCTAGGCCCTGACTAGGTTAGGACTCCTGCTCCATCTACTGCCTACTTTCTTTGGCATTTAAAGCCCTGGAGTTTACAGGGCAGAGGCCATGACATTGGAGAGCGTATTTTAAAAAATCTATCGGAACCCCACATTTCAGTTCCCTTCTGAGGAGAGGTAGGAGGTCGATGACAGAAACAGTGTTCATCTGCAGCATGATTTCAGTCTTTGCCAGCAGCGGGCACGTCCGCCCCGCCTGCCCCACCCTAGGCACAGGAGCCTGCAGATGGGGTGTGCTCTGAGTTTCAGGGGACAGCCCAGTCCCACTGGGGCTTCCAGGACTTCTCACAAGAGGAGTTAAGACCTCCTGAGCTTCTTGAAGAGGTGATGGGTTCAGTGGTCCCATTGGACGCCAGAGGTGAAGCCAGTCCCGTATCTGAGTGATCACATCAGGAGTGGAAGGCAGTGGCCTCCTGTCCTTTTTCTCCCGTACGCAGTAGTCTCTATTTGCTAGGGCCCTCAAGAGGGCCACCGAAGCATCTGGATCTCATTCAGGCTCCTAAAGTGTTGCGCTACTGAATACCCTCGGATCTGTTGCACTCGTCTGTTTACACCAGCAGTGAGTAGAGGAATATAAAGACCACGTGGTATGCAATGGCTTGATGCTTCGTGTGGCAATCAAAAGCTTGCCTGGGCAGGTGGAGGCAGGGACTACAAAATACCTGTGCAGTCACGATGTCACCGTCTCTCCTTCCCCGTCCAGGTCTCTTTTGATGCTTCGTGTGGCAATCAAAAGCTTGCCTGGGCAGGTGGAGGCGGGGACTACAAAATACCTGTGCAGTCACGATGTCACCGTCTCTCCTTCCCCGTCCAGGTCTCTGCTGGCTTCTACAGCCACCACAAGGGCTAAGTGGTTGAATGAGTCCCCCTTGGTGTCTCCTTATAAACACGAGGACTTATTTGTGATTCTGGGTCTAATCCCAGGTTAAGAAACAAAAGCTCGTGACCCAACCCATTCCTTTCCTTCTCTCCTTCTCTTTCAGGCATCCAAATGGATTTAGTATTCTGCCCTGTGCCTTGCCCAGGGGAGGGAGAAGTTTCTATTAATTACGGATTCCTGTTTGCTGTCTGGTGCTTTACAGTACTTCATTTGTGTCTGTGTGTGGTTGTTTTTTTTTTTTTTTAAACCAAAACCACATTTGTTTGGTTGTCATTGTTGAGTATATATTTATTCTATCTGACAAACATGAGTATATATATGTATAAAACCAGACTTACATATGTCAAGGCATGTATACTAGATATTTTAAAGAGTTATTTATCAAGGGAAAAAGATGTGTGTTATAAAGTAAACAGAGTCTATATTTTATATATAATGTAGATAGCAAAAAAATAGCTTATAAATTATAGAAGGTTTTGGTTTTCTTTTTATTATTAAAGCAAAAGCAAAAACAACAGGACAATAAATGGAACTGTTCTTCGTGTTTCAAAGGCCAAACTACTGCGGGAGTTGGGAGGTGGCCTTCCCTGCCGGGCTCTGCAGCACTTCTGTGTCTGCTGTTCCAGGCTCCAGAGCCCACGCCCATATCATCTCTGCGCGGTCAGCATCACTCAGCCAGCTCACGTGGGCCGCTCCAAACGCGGCTTCCAGCTGTCCTCCACAGTCTGCACTGGTGGGATAAAAGAATGAAAGTGGCAAATAAAGATTTAAAAGAAGATACGAGTCCAGCTCTTTTCCTGTTTTCTAGACCCAGGTGTTCATGATCTAGACCCCTGACCAGTTTGTCTGATTTGAAGCATGAGTAGGTGCAGCTGAGGTAGGGGGTGTCGGGGGAGGCTGCTCACGTGTCAGCACACATGGAACTGCACAGTGGACATCAACTGACCTGCTTTTTACTGAGCATCACTGAATATGAGAACTGGAGGAACTTTACAGCCATCTGGTTCAAACCTTTACTTTGGAAATGTGGAAATGGAAGGGAGATAAACTACCTGAGGCCACTTGATATGTGTGCGTGTGAGTGTGTACGTGTGCGAGTGTACATGCGTGTGCATGTGTCAAAAGCTAGGGCAGACAACAGGATGACAATGTAGCTTTTAGATTGTGGGAGCAAATTTTAGAATTCTGTATTATTTTAATACTTCACATCAAGCTCTGAAAGATACTTTTAACAGGTTCACTTGACTATTTAAAAGAGCATCTTTGCTTACTTCTTAGCAGTGTTTAAGGACAACCATCTTGGATTGAGCTCAGCCTAATTTCAAATTTGCATGACATGGGGTCTATTGTGGAGGGGCTGGCCTTTCCTTCCCACCCTCTGCTGAGTCTTAGAGAGTTTCTAGCACTTACGTGTGTGTTTCTTCTGGTTCATGTTCTCCCTTCACTTAAACAGTTAAAAATTAGAATCCTACAAAACCTGAAATCCTGTTCACTCCTTTATCGCAGTTCCGATATTAATGCATTCAGAATTCAGTCCATCCATTAAGATAATAGAATTGTAGCAAACCCTTGCACCCACATAGATTATTACTGTGCACACATAACATTTTCATACCTTATGATTCTATAGTAAATGTAAGAGCAATTCTAAATAAGGAAGTAAGGGAGAGTGCTTTGTCAAAGCAGAAAGTGCCATCCATCCAAATATAAAGCATTGTTGTGATCAGATCCAGTCCTAAGTTTCTCCCAGCAAAGTGATCTGGAACCAACACTCCATGGAAGACTGTCTACATTTTCAATCTAGGTAGGCTAGTTGTTCCTTCACAGTTTTTGGATTATCTTTGTGATGTTGGTTTCTCTCAAATTAGGCTCATTTCTTATTTCGTAAGCCAAGGATTATCCTGCCTCCTACTAAATCACAGGATATGATCAGCGCTGCTTTCATAGTCTCTGAACTGTTGCTTAGAAAGAACAGACAATTACACAGCAAGTCATTCAAGCAGGCTGTCCTTTGCTGGTCAGATGAAATCTGTGTGTCCTCTCATGTCTGTCTGCCCCCCCCCACCCCCCCAGATACACAAAACCGTTTCCCAGCTTCATTTTCTTTTCCTTTTATCCTGTGCATTTTTAGCACGCGTTGTCCTTTGGGTGATTCAATATGAAAAAAGATTGCTACAATTCTTATGAGAATGGGTGACATGTATACAAAGTATAAAGAACTCACTGTAGAAATGAAAACAAGACTAACTTCACCTCATTCTAAGTAGTAGGCTCCCACATTATTGACCCATGTTAACCTTAATCTTGCCTAAGCAGAAAAGATCCCTCTGCCTAGATATTCCTAGGCTTTATGCCCCCAGCCCCTACCTGCAGTTGGCAGTAGCAGTGGCCCCTGTTGGAATGTTGTCCAAGAAGTCTAGATGACAGAAATGAAAAAGATTTATCACTTCATAGAGTTGGCGTCAAGTCACAACCAGATGGAAATGTTACTTGAGCCAAGACTGCTACAAAAAGCTGATGCAAGTTGAAACCATTCAAAATCCTTTCCCTTGTTCATTCAAGTTCAGGCTTCCTTTTGAATCCTATCTCCGAGTCTACATCTGCTTGGCAAATTCCTGAGAGATGATTTGAGCTTAGACCGTTCCTGTAGCATGACTGTGGTCCAACCACAGCTCTGCAAGATGAACTCCACCGTATCTGAACTGGTTGTTGGACTTCCTCTAAAATGTCATCTCACTTACAGCAACACCTTTCTCTTCTAATTGTATACAGATTCTGATCACCTTGGATCTAACCAAACTCCCTTCAGCCAAGAGTGTAAACGAAGAGCTAAATAACTTTTAGGAAACCTTCTTGGGCAATTATGGATTAACTCACTTCTTGGTCAATGATGGGGCTCAATTCTAAAATAACAATCTGCAATGTTCATGTCTCTGACCCATTCATCACTGGCTATCAGTGCCCTGGGAAGGAGGAACCCTCAGAAGGCAGCGGATGTGCAGACCACATGCACGAAGCCCACAGGTTCAGGCTGAGTCTTGAACTCCCCCAAGTCACTAACTCCCTTTTAGATAGAACTGAAGGGTCTAAATCAGGTCTAAGTCAGACAAAGACTGTCTGAGGCTCCCTTGGGAATGGTGAATCTCTCCAGCCTCCTCAGGAACAAAGACCAAACAGGCACAGAAGCTAGTGAGACTCCAGGGCAGGGAGCAAGGCCAGGCCCCCGCCTCCTTTCTAGGCCTTCCAAGGCTGCTCGTCTGGGGTGTGGTAGCTAACAGGTGAGCTGACTCTTCACTGTGCTAGGCTAAGTGATCTGGACTTCACATTTAGGTTTCTGCCATGAAGCAAAAGACAGAGCTAGCTTGTGAAGAGCAGCTGTGTGTGAATCTGGCTGTGACATGCTAAAACTATCTATCACTGGGGAAGCAGGAGGAAGGGAAGCGGGGGCACAGAAGAGAGAGGAAGGAGCTGGCAGTAACAGGACAGCAAGGGGAAGAGAGGGCAGGAGCAAAAGTGGCAGTTCATGCCAAGATGAAGGGGAAAGAGAGATGAAAGGGTAAAAATAGATGAAGGGGAAGAGAGATGAAAGGCCAGAGATACGGAAGGTTGCAAAGATGAGTAAGTGGTGCATGAGACGTCTGAAACATGCTTGCTCTGTGGCTGCCAGGCCTCGCTCTGAGAACAGCTTGTGTGAGGAGAGGATGGCAGACGAGAAGGAATGAGCGAGGAATTCTTACGGAAACTTCACAAAGTCTGGCCGATTCGCTTCTAGGGCTGCGTAAAGGTATCAAACCATCGGCATTTGCTGGGAGCTTTTCAGTGCCAGCCACTGTGTTAAATGAGCACCATCCCTAAGACTTCAAGTGCACCTTGGATCTCCTCTTCCTTTTCTTGTTGCTTTTCTTATTTGCAAATCTCAAAACCTGAAGTCTTCAAGGATTCAACATCTGCCAATTTCACCCTATCCATTGGGCCCTTCCTGGGCCCCTTGGACACACCATCTCTGCAAGAATCTGCCATTTAGTTGTTCTTTGCACACACAGGGCCTCTTGTCCCTCCTCAGCTTTTCAAAACCTGCCCGCTAGGCTGTCACTCCATTCTGCTTTCTCCTCCTGCAACAGAGCATTTGCAAAGAAAACTCTCAGGTGAGCAGGCCTGACCAGCAGAAGTAGACATTCATCATTTCCATCTAGCCCGTGGATCAGTCCTCAGGTCCGTTCTGGATCTTCTCTCTTGTTAGGTTGCCTGTGACATCTGGGCTTCTCCCTTACTTGTTTACAATGACCTCATCCATTTAAACTGAGGCCATCTGAAAAAAGCCTTCCTGCCTGTTTTCCTGGTCACCCAATGTATTGACCGTGCTTCCTCGTCCTTGCGTGGGGAAGCCAAGGCAGAGGCGTCGTTCCCAGTCTATTCTTATTCCCACCTCGTCCAGTGTCCTCTTTCCCTTCGTCCTTCAGTTAGGCCAGTGGTTGCTGACCTGGAGTATGAATTCAGGCAGGTCTCTGAACTTAGATGGGAAAAAAGTACGTCTTGATTTTCAATAACTCTGAGTGAAATGTAGCATTTCTTTCAATTATGACAACAAATCACAATTGTATTAGCAGCATGTGTGACTTCATCACCTACAGCAGTTATGTATATTTTCAGATCTCATCATTGGTTTTGCAGATATCTTGAAATAGCATTTATACTCAGCACTTCTCTGAAATTATGGAAATTGCTAGACCACAACCAGATCTTGTTATTTAATACTTTAATTAAAAGCCCATATCCTGCTTTATCAATAATTTTAAAATTGGGGGGTAACTATATATCAATATAATTTGTTACTTTGTTATCATATGCATATTATTTTTCACATTTAAAAACCTTATAGGAGGTACCATTATTCTCAGAATTGGCCATTAGCTCTGCCATGTTTGCCTAAGGTGAATATGGCTCCCCAAAAAGTTAAGAAACCCTGTGTATAGCAGAAATAGCCTTAGCTTGATCCTTATTTCCAACTACAGATTTTTTCCCCAAGCTCATTGTATATGATTTGAATCATGAAACAATTAGTTAAAAATAGATACTCTGACATCCAAAGACCCCTCTGGGTTTTTGAACCTCCTCTGCAAGAGGATCTTGCTCCAAAACTGTGTTTCCCACGGCTGTGTATCAGTATCACACAGTCTTCTCAATATAAGTAGGTTCTAGGCACCACACCACATCATCTGAATCCATTTTCAGGCAGAATATTTTAAAATATGAACACTATGAGCATGTATTAAAAAGTTCAAACTGGGGCCGGCCCGGTGGCGCACTGGAGAGTGCGCTGCTTGGGAGTGCGGCGGCGCTCCCGCCGAGGGTTTGGATCCCATGTGAAGACCGGTTCCCGCTCACTGGCTGAGCGTGGTGTGGGCTCAGTGCCAAGGGTTGTGATCCCGTTGCCGGTCCCCGGTACGGGCGCTGAAAATGGCTAAATGGTAAATTTTATGTTATGTATATTTTATCACAATTAAAAAAATGTTTTAAAGCTCCCCAGGTAATTGAGCTGCAGTGCCCTCTCTTGGCCCTGGTGAGGTCACCACCTGGCGTTTTGGGGACTCCTTCTTTCATTTTGCCACCATCCTGAGCCCTCTCTTTCTGGAGAATCTAAAAGCAAAAAGACGAGTTGTATTTCTTTAGGGAAACAAATTCTCTCCTTTCCACGGGCGGGCTGTTAATGCAGAGTTATAGGGGCAGGAAAGGGCTCTTTCCTAAGCCTGTCAGAAGTCGGCAGCTGTTGTCACCGACAGCCCTAGTCCTCCAGGAGGACAGAAGCCTTTTCAGCTCGGGAATGCCTTTCATCCTCCGTGTTGAGAGCTTTGTGGAAATTAGGCCAGTGCCTGTGAAGCAATTCAAGCCTGGTTACAACACCCCAAAAGGTCTGCGGTAGCAGAAGTCTGGGTGGAACCCCCTCCCCATACCTGTCAGGGCCTTGTGGTGCTTTCTTTAACCGGCATTTCCACATCCTCAGCCTAGCCAAAGGGCTTGGAAAAAGCCCTTTCACAAGTGATATGTTCAGATAAGTTAAATCCCCTGAAATTCAGTGCCACGTGGTGTTATCTGTACTTTTTAGTGTAGTTCCATTGATGGACTGATTGTAGAGCAGTTCAGATCTGAGGGAATATAAGCTGGTGCAGAGGACATCCCGGTAAAACCTTCAGTCCCCAGGCAGGTTCTCCTAGCACCTCGGTCAGTCTGTGTCATATAGAGAAGTCCACAGAGGTGCCGCCTTGGCTCCATGCAGCTGGCGGGCACTGAGTCACACACTTGTCAAAGGGGCTTTAGTGACCTAGTACCCAAATTCTTGCCACTGCCTGTTAAGGAATCATTTAAAATCTGGGAGGATCTCTCTCAGTATTCCCCACACTCAAGTAGCTTGGCTCTGTGGGTTTGTCTGAGTCTTCTCAGAGGGTCCCTGCTAGTCAGATTGCTCTGTTGGAGATCCATGATTTTCCCAGTGTTTGTCACGCTGCATGTGTTGTGCAGTGTCAGTTCATATACCAACATGTCAACATTTCACGCAAGTATTCTTGGGCTTGGTGAGGCGTGGCTCTGGACTTAACTTCAAAGTTCATTTGAGACTCTTCAGTTTTCTCCTTCCTGCATAGTAGCCACGATACTAATAGCCCCTTCTCTGGACCTGCTCACAGTGCCACCCCCTCCCCCCAATACCAGCACTGTCTGTCCATGCACTCATGAACTATATCCCACTGTCCCCATTGTTGGAAACTTACGTGTTCACATATCATTCCTTTGAACCACTGTGGCCTTGCCTGGCCTGGGCACAGCTCATCTTCAAGAAATAGAATCCAGGGCCTGGTGAGACCTGCTGTTATAATGGGAGAACTGTGAGGCCGCCGCAGGCAAACATGTTTTCATTTCCCTGCTCTCTTTCCTCTGAGATCAGACCATTCTCCAACCTCATCCTGTGATTGGAGTCCTGGCATTCACCCTATGAGGTGAGGTAAAGGAGTCGGGACAAGCCCCGTGGAGGCCCAGACAGGCCTGGATCCCCTGGCAAGCTGGTTTTCTTGAGATAAAGGTCTGCTCCTAGTTGCTGGCTTTCCTTGGTTGATAATGGACCATTTAAAGGCCTTTCGGAGCTGTTCTCAAAAAAGTAACTAGTCTTAGTGTGAGTTTCAAGAGACTTTACTTTCAGCAAAGGAAACAAATATAATCAGTTCTCAGTTCTGGTTTTTGTGTTCTGAGTCACTGGCTGGCAACCTTTTCTGGCTCTGAGACACCTGGGAGAGAGCACACACCCCACAGTCAGAATTAAGTACCTGAAATCTTTTGTGCTTGCATTCTCAATCAGAACTTCCTTCCTCCTGACCTGCGCACACCAAGTTCACCCTGTGTGCTACAACAGACTTTGTAGCTGGGGAACCCACACGTGCAGCTTGAAAAGTAACATCTAGGTCAGCGGTTCTCCAAGTGTGGCCTTGGCCCAGTGGCACCAGCCTCACATGGGGAGTTTTTTAGAAATCCAAATCCTCAGTCACGCCCTAGACCTACTGAATCAGAAAGGCAGGGACTGGACCCCACCATCTCTCCAGGTGAGTCTGATGCATGCTCACTGCGGGTGCGGCTGTAGCTGAGTCTTTGCCCTCTGTCTGTCCCTTGCTAAGATTCACCCTCTAGAGTGGTGACTCTGAGCCCAGGTGCATGTTAGTATCACCTGGGGAGCTTTTACAAACTACAGATGCCCTGACTCCACCCTTAGAGATGATGATTTAATTCATCTGCTGAAGGCACAACTGGAGCTCTTCGGTGATTCCAGTGTACAGGGGTTTGAGAACCACTCACCATGTGCTCCTTGCAGATTTTGGCAGCCTTGTAAGCAACCACATGTTTGTTCTCCACTTCCTCCTCCCAGCACAGGAGTAATTTATTCCTTATAATTCATCGCGCTCACTCACCAGCCAGAGGGCCAACAAGACGTAGGACAGCATTGCTGGGGGAGGGGCGGGGGGGTGTTTGTGCTTGGAATTCTGTGCCCTGCCCCCTCATGGGCTGCAAGACTTTGGGAAAATTAAATCCTGTCACCTTTCTAGGCCTCAGTTGCCTCATCTGTAAAATAGGAATTATATTAATAATGTCTTCATTTCCTCAAGTCAAAGAGCCAATGGATGGTCTCATAAGGTCTTTTTCAGCAGGAAAATAAATCTTTGATTCTAAGAGTGTTTAAAAGGTCTAAATTTGTCTTTAGCATAGAATTGCTAGTATTGATTTTTTTTTCCTCCCTCCAGGATGGGCAGAACATATTGTGAGCTGGTCAATTTTGTGTTTTCCCAGAATATACAAACACAAGTCAAGCCTAAAAGAAGTTGGCACTCAGGCAAACAGATGCTGAAAAGGAAGCCATTACAATGGTTGGCATTCTCCCTCCATGCCCTGAAATGTTCCAATGGGCTCTCGGCAGTCTCTCTCGGGAGGGAGACTCGCATGTTCAATCTGGCTCTCCCTTGTCCATGGACATCCGGTGCCTTTCACTTCCACCAGCTGCCTGCCTTCCTACTAGCTCCTTCTCCTCCTTTTTCTTTCTGGCCCTGCAAACACTGTATAATCATCAGCCCATGATTAACCTTCATGGAGCTTGTCCACCCCACCCCACTAATGCAAAGACGCCCATGAAAAACAAACTGAGTGTTCCAGGAAGGAGCAGGTGAATAGGTCAAATGTTTCCAGAATCTGTTGCTTAATTTTTTTCCTACAAACATTTTCTTCTTTCCTGAAAACAATATACCTATAGTTTGGTGTTCGTCTCCCTCCTACAGCCTCACCCACACCAGTAAATAATAGTACCAGAAAGCTGATAGAGGATGGTAAATTGTAGCCGCAATACTATGTAAATAGCCTACTAAACCTGTAATGTCTAGGCATCCCTTCAGAAAGAAAAACTAAAAAAGGAACCCAGGAACTTGGCCAGAGAACACAGCCAGGACTTCCCAGCTGTGGTCCAGATCACCATGGAAACACTGGGATGTTGTATTCCACTTGCTGGTGTCTCACTTCAAGTCTTCTGCCCGCTCCTGACTCAGTTTCTATCATCAGAGGACATCCCTCCCTGGAAAGAGCCTTCAACAGCCACTGAGCTGTATGAGTTCTAAGCCCTCCAGCCCCTTTCTCAGCTTGCACCAGGAAAACTAAGTACGGGTGGCCATGAGTGATAGTCGTACTTTTTATGTCAAAGGGACTTGGTGTGTTCTGGTCGAGGAGAGGACCTTTTATCCCCCACTTGCTGCTGGAGACTTAAATTCTGGATCCCAGGGCTGCAGTCCCATCTGCCACGTGGAAGTTTCTCAGAGATAAAGTTAAGCGTTTGTTTAGATGTGCAGATGCCACACGCTAATTCTTGGAGTTCCCCCAGCCATTATGACTGAAGGGATTTTTGTGTACTGTTTAATTTTTTGGTTGGGTCTTTGCTTTAGTTTTCTCCAATTGAGGGGATATTTTAAATTGTAACTGTTGTTACTCTACCCTGACGAGATAGAGTAGCCTTCAAGACAACTTCTCTGTTTTGGGGGCTTTATAAAACCTGCATCCTAAGACATCTTTTCAAGGTTACTTGGGTGACAAGGTCGCTGCACAATTCTACTCTGACTAGACCCTGCATAATGGCAAAATCGACTGGTCTGGTTGGTATGATTTGAGGATTCTGGAACTGCCCAAGCCCAATATTTCTTTCTTCCATCCTCTCATTTGTACCCAAAACTTCACCCTCCTGATTAATGACCTCCATCCTAAAGTACAGACACCCCATAAGAAAGCAGCTTATTGATGTTGCCTAAATGATACTTGATTTATCAGATTCTTTTCACTGTGGCATCCATTTGAGAGCAGGTTTAGGGAGTGGGGAAAAGCGAGCAACAATACAGTCTGTGAGGAGTTGGCATGAGACTGGGCCCTGCTCAGCCAGGGAGTGTGACAGTGCTCTCATTTAATACTTACAACCTACCAGCTGCTGTTTAACCCATTTTCATGCAGATCCAAAGCTCAGAAAGCTTAATTAACCCGCCAAGGGTAGCACAGATAGCAAATGATGGATGTGGCATCCAAACTAACATCTGTATAAGAAGCCAGATTACACTATGAAACGCTAGTGAAGTCTGACACAATCCTACCTTTATCTTGTAACTTCACTCATCTCATTGATGTCAAAAATCTCCCATTGTTCTGGTAATAAGGAGAAGGGCTGGGAAACATAGAGATCCATGCAGTACTTGAGAGACCACAGCCAAGGAGAAATTGTTCCAGCAATCCAAAGCTGTATATAAATATATTCTTTGGAATCTCCAACTTGCAAAATGTGGTTTTGTATTGTTTGATAAAAATAATGAATCAGATCAGTTTGGCTTCCTGTTGAATTTACTTGAGCTCTGCAATCCTGCTACAAAAGGGAATAATGCTCAAGGTAGCAGAGTAGATTACAGGGGTACTAGCATGTATATTTCCAGAAATGTTCTAAGTCCTAAATTAGCTTTCCTTTATGGCTACCTAGCAGCCACATGTTTAAAATTAGACTTTTAAGTCTTCATATTGTGTTGAAATTCTGTTCCAATCCTGTGAAGAGAAAGTCTTCTCATAATCCTACTTTCCCTTACCCTGCTAAGTCTGGTTCCCTTAGCTGGCAAAGAGTTTGGCTCTCTCCCCTCTGCAGTGGCACCTGCCTATGCATATAAAGTTGGCACCTTTACGTATACTCACATTTCTGTTTGAGTTGGTTTTCTGGCATGTGAAGAAGTGGTCCTGTAAGGCATATTTTTGTGGAAATCTATTTATTTGGATGGAACTTTGGTTGCATTAAATAGTCTCAGACTAATAGAGGCTTAAACAAGATACACATTTCTTTCTCATGGGACAGTTGGCGCTGGTATGGTGGCTGATTTCCGCTGATTCTTCAGGGGTCTGGCTTCTCTATCTGGTTGCTCCATCTTTCCTAGAGAGTTGTCTTTGTCTGGATGACTCTAGATGGCTCACTTCTGTGTGTGCATTCCAGCCTTCGGGAAAACAGAATAGGAGTGTCCCTTCTCTAAGAGCATGGCCCCAAAGCTTCACACAAAATGTCCCCCTCCCATCCTTTAGCCAGGACCATTACCTGCAGGGGAGGCTGGAAAATGCAGCCTTGATTCTGATAACCTTTTTCCATGCCTACGTGAGATCTCCCCACTCTGGCCCACCTTGCCCTAAACTTCCAAGTTCTCAGTTGCTACCAATTTGACATTCAATTTAGATCACTTTTTAAGGACCTGATTTCAACTATACCAGTATAGAAATGGACATATACCCCTTTCCTAATTCAAATGATTTCTAAAAAAAAGAAAACTAAGAAAAAAGCAACATTAAAAATATTGGCTAATGTTAGGTAGTGCTCACTCTGTAGTGTCAGCTTTGGGTACTTTTTAATTCATTTAATCCTCACAACAGGGTACAATAGCTGTCAAAATCTTTCTTTACAGGTGAAATGGAAATAAACTTAGTTGCTTGTCCAGGGACACGGCACGTAAGAGTGGAGCTGGGATTCAAGCCCAGGCATTCAGTCTAGAGACTGTACTCGTAACCACTACACCAGCTGCACTTTCTGTGTTCACCCAAGTAGGGACATTGATATTTACAGGACATGCTCTCCTTTGCTTGAGACACCCAATGAGCAGCCGTCACTGGCTGGGGAAGCAGAGCTTACTGGCCCACTGCTCCTTTCCCTGGCCTCACTCTCCCTTTGTCCAAGTAGTTTCCACCTTTTGATAAGCCCAACTTCTTCTGCTGCTTCAACCCGGCCCTTGGGCAATTCTCCAAGCCCCTGTACATAACCTCTCACTTGTACCCCTGACCCTGATCCCTCTTCTCAGGCATGTGGCTCCAATAATCCTCTCCCTTCTTGCCATATCAGCAGTTATTCCTTTGCTACCAGACTGTTTCCACAATCATACAAACACAGTTTCTTCCTCTTGACATTCCTTCCTTCTGCCCCCACTCCTGCTACCATACATTTCTATGCCTCTCTTTGCAATGAAACTTCTCAGAAGAGCTGCTGATGGGCTCTGTGTCAATCCTTACCTCCCCATTCTCTCTTAAAACCACTCCAATCACACTTCTTCCTTCATTAGCTTTGTCAAGGTCACCAGGATACCATGGCCAGTCTTCTTATTTGACATATCAGCGGTATTTGACATGGTTGATCACTCCCTTCCTGACACATTTTTTAAACTTGGTTTTCAGGAAAATCTCTTAATTTTCTTTCTACCTACTTTACTATTCCTCCTTCCACATCTTTTATGCAAATTCCTCCTTTACTCCTTGATCATTTTAATATTGGAGTGTCCTCTATTCTGTTTTCTCTTCCATCTGACCACTCCCTCGGTGAGCACATGGCTCTAAGCAGTCTTTATTTGCTGGCAGCTCCTGAGTTTATATGTCCTGCTGGACCTTCCCTGCTGAGCCCCATATATGAGCCAGGGCCCAATCAGGAGACAGACATCACACAGTAGTTTGAACAGGGACAGTTTAATAGAATATTTGCTGGCAGCTCCTGAGTTTATATGTCCTGCTGGACCCTCCCTGCTGAGCCCTATATATTATCCAGGGCCCAATCAGGAGACAGACATCACACAGTAGTTTGAACAGGGACAGTTTAATAGAATTATAACAGGTGACTGGAGTAATGGATGATTGGTTGGGAGTGGGTGGAAAAAATGATAAAGAATGCAGGAATAGCAGATTTAGGGAGCAGCCACTATGCCTAGGACTGAGATAGAGTGCTCAAGGAAGGAACAACTCAGCAAGAGGGGATCCCCCACTCACAGCCCAGGGCTGAGATCCAGACCTGGCTGGAGAGGTGCAGCTGTGGCTCACAGCATGGTAGAGAAGTTTGCTGAGCTGCTGCACTGATGCGACTCACTAAGAAGGGGCCCTCTCGGGTGCTGGAGAAAGCTGTCCACATCCTAGGTGCTGGTGCTGCACCTCACACCTGGCTGCAAAGGGGGTACTGGGGGAAACCACCCACAAGGAGATGTCTTCTGCCACTGGCTGCCTGGTGTTAGCGGTGGCCCACTGCAGGGACTGCCAAGAAGTGTTCACTAAAATCAGGAAGAGAAACCCTTTCTTCTTCCAGTGTCCCTCCAGTACACTCTGCTGGGCAAGTTTCACATCATGCCAGAGGGCAATGTGAAAATATTTATAGGGTTCAGCTCCATTACTGCAGAGCAGGCAATTCCATGTGGATTTGGAGCTGAGAGGCAGTTAACTGACAGTTAATAGTTGCTCCAGACTCGTGAGCAACAATTTCCACTTCGACGTCTAATAGTCATCTCACCCTTGCCATGTCCAAAACTGAACTAGTATTCCCTGCTGTATTTCCAACTTTCCCCAGCCTTCCAGCTGCTCAGGCACAACACCAGAAGTTATTGTTGACTCCTATTTTCTTTCACTTCCACAATTTGTGAGGACAACCTATTGGCTCTACCTTAAAAATACACCTACAATCCGACCACTTGTCACTGTATCCACTGTCACCTCTCTGGTCCAAGTCATCACCACCTCCCCTTGCTTGAATTTCTACTTGAATTAATAGATATCCCTGCTACTACCCATGTGCCCCTGAAGTCGACTTTCAACATAGAAACCAATGGGGTTCTTTGAAAATATGAGTCAGATTCTTCAGTTCTCTGCTCAAAACTCCCTATTTCACTGAAATAAAAGGCCGAAGTTGTCACAGTAACCAAGGTGATCCACTCCCTTCCCCATCAACCTTTCTTTTTTTTTTTCCTTTTTTGTCTTTTTTTTTTTATGCTATTGAGGTCTTATAGTTTCATTTAATATGCATGAATCTTTTTTCAGTTGCATCATTAGGGTTTAAAAAGATTACATCAATCATCTCTTTGCTTTTCCTGACCTCCAGGATTATTTTTGCCTCGAGGGGACAAATATTAAGGTGTGAAATTATGTTACTAAACTTTCGGTAAGTTTGAAAAAATTATCGGTTATTGTCAAATTATGAAAATATGAAGTTTATAAGGATGCTAAGTAATGTTTACTTTAACTTCCAGGTTTGAATTTTATTTTTCCTTCTTTTTCTAATTTAAAAAGTAATATATGTATGTGCAAAAAATTCCAAACAGTAAAGACGTTAATATGAAAAGCAGCTCTGCGGGAGCGCTGCTGCGCTCCCAAGAGGTGCACTGTAGCAGTGCGCCACCGGGCCGGCCCCCCATCAACCTTTCTGATGGCCGCTGTCACTACTGTACCCCTCTGTCACTCCGAACATAATGGCCTCCTTGTCATTCCTCAAATAAACAGGACACCTGCACTCTTAACCCCAAACACCCAATCAGCATTATCCTGATCTACTTTTTTCTTTCTAAAAAACAAATTTACTTATTTGTTATATCTATTGTTTATTGTCTGTTTACCCCACAAGAATGTATGTTCCATAAGGGCAGGGATTTTTGTTGTTGTTGTTGTTTTTGGATTTACTCCAAGCACTTAGAAAAGTCCCTTGAACATAGTGGGAGCTCAATAAACATAAGTTGAATCCTGAATATCTGGCTGTACATCCTCAACAGAGGATGGCATCCTGTCTCTGCATGTCTGGCCAGCTCCCTACATCGCCAGCAGAAAGTTACTTTCTCTTCCTGTTAATAGCTTGTACTTTGTACCAAAGCTTCTTCTTACATGCTTGCTTCTATTCTGGGGACCATCTCTGTTCAATGGCTCCAGGCTCTCTCTGAGGATCCATTCAGGTGTTCACAAGACTTTCGCCTTCCAATCCCCTCTTCCTAAACTCCGGACTCCTTATACACAGAGTAAGAGAAGAGGTCCCTTCCCACAGACCCCCAGTTCATCAGAGTACTGGTGTGGATGTCACACATTAGCAGTCAAAGTAATCACAGGTGTTTATGTGTATATTAGTCCATTTCTGTTGCTTATAACAAAATACCTGGAACTGGGTAATTTGTAAGAAAACAAAATTTATTGCTTACAGTTTCTGAGACTGGGAAGTCCAAAGTCCAGGGAACACATCTGGTGAAGGTCTTTCTTGGTGGTGGCTTCAGCAACACAGGGTATCACATTGCAAGATGATGGAAGCAGACAGACTAACCTCCTCATTCACTCTCTTTATAAAGCCACCTGAACCACTCCTGTCATTCCAAGAATGGATCAATCTATTCCCAAGGGTGCAGTCCTCACAATCCATTCACCTCTCCAAGGCCCCACCTTTCAACTTCCACAGTAGGATTTCCCAGCCTCTTAACACTGTCACAGCGGGGACCAAACCTCCAACACATTAAACTTTGAGGGAACACAATACAATCCGTAATAATGTATTTATTTATTTTAATCTTCATGATAATGCTATGAGTAAATGCTATGGTAAATAGTACCATTGTGCCCATTTTACAGCAGGGACAAATGAGGCATTACTTTGCCTAACTAGCAAATGGAGGAGTCAGAATGCATCTGTGCCCTATTGCCAGAAATGGTTTTTTATGTCATGAAAATGACAATGACTAATATGGAGTGAGCTAAACCTGACTTGAACTTGAATTTAAAGCTGGTTTGGAGCTGAGTCATAGACGTATGGAAGTCAAAATGTTATTTTCCAAAGTAAACCACCTTTTAATCAGTCTTAAGCTCAAATGGGAACCAAATCGGAACAGCCTGATATCATCCTAAGCTACATATATGAAGGGTCTTCAAAAAGTTCATAGAAAGATTCACATTATCTTTTAATTCTATTTTTCCATGAATTTTTTGAAGTACCCTCATACACAACCCCAAGATTGGTGTGCAGTGGCTCTGGTTCCCATTTCTATACCATTTGTGCCACCTCCTGGCATTACCATTCGATAGCTTCCCATTAGAACAAACCCCCCATACACACATCAGCAAGTTGACTCCTCCTCATTTCCTATGACCCCTCCCAGTTTGAATGAATGAATTCTCTGACCCCTGTGTAACCACCTAATATATGCATTAAAGCATCAGATATCAGCATGATTTCCTGGATTGACTTGTGTCTCCTTCAGTAGACTGGAAGCTCCTTGAGGGTAGGGGTGTGTATTCCCAGGGCTTGGCACACAGGGACTTGAATGTTGAAGAAGAAAGAAGGCTGGCAGCTCCTTCCAGCTCCATCTATCCCACCCCTCAAATCAAGCTCTCGGGAGAGGACCTGAAAAACTCATACACAAATGATCAACTTGGCTGAATGTATTGATCCTTATAGGACTCCTTACTTTATAAAAGTGGAAAGAGTCTTAAGCCAAAGAAATGACATTAAATACTGAGGAGAAGCAAAGATTTGGGGGGAACTGGGAAACACCTCCTGGCAAATCATATTAAGTGGATGGACATCTACTTTATCTTCATGCAATGCTGAGCAAGTACTCCTGAGTCAAAACGGAGCTAAGCATTTTTAATTTATTTCCTCAGAGAAAAAAACCACCTGCTAGTGAACGGAGAATGTTGAATTTTTTTTCCCTCCTTTACTCTGACAAACCTGCCCTTCTAAAAATTTTACTTTTGTCTTGATGTCCTTTTTTGTTTTGATTTTTGTTTTTCCCCTGGGAAATGCCATTTCTCCTTGAAGAACTTTTTACAAAATATATTCCTAAATAGCAACTTTTGGTGCCAAATCTGGAAGAAAGCCAAGAGCTCATCTTTCAGTTGAAAATCAGGTATTGATTTTATGATAAGTGAATGGGAACGTCCTTTTTTGTTTTGATTTTTGTTTTTTCCCTGGGAAATGCCATTTCTCCTTGAAGAACTTTTTACAAAATATATTCCTAAATAGCAACTTTTGGTGCCAAATCTGGAAGGAAGCCAAGAGCTCATCTTTCAGTTGAAAATCAGGTATTGATTTTATGATAAGTGAATGGGAATAAATGAATGTGAACACCTGGGGGGCATCAAATGTGCACCCAAAAGATGCATCAGCAGTATCTAAGAACAGAGTTTTTTTTTTTCTTTAAGTATTCTTATTCTATCTGTTTTTTCTTAATTTTGTACTTTTCCTGTACTTACCACAGTGATCTGGCCCAAGGCCAAGAAGTAAAGAGGCTCCTGTTCTGTGCAGTTGGCAAGACTGTCCCTCCTCTTCATTCTCCTCTTCCTCTCCCATTCCTCCCTCCTCTTGGCCACCTCTCCCTCTTCGTTGTATTTTTATCTTGACCATCAGTGGAGCTGTTGGAGGATTTAGAGGAGCAGCTCCTCCACATTTTAATAATTGTGCTGGGTTTCATTTCCCCTGTGAAAGGAATATATCTAAAATCCTGCAGACTTTTACATCTGTTATAAACTCTACTGCAGTGCTTCGTGAGCCAAGGACTAGCCATGAATTACTAGAAAAATGAAATTAAAAACACATGCAAAATACAAGCCCCCTGTTTTTATTAAATCCAATAGACATAAACTTACTCTGTTGAATTGCTATAAAAGTGTCTAAATGCTTACTCTCAATTTCTTTACTTACCTCTCAGATCGTAACCAACAGTTCATGGGCCAGCAGCAGTCAGTAGTCCTTACTTTAAATAGCACTGCTCCAGCAAATAAAACATCTTGTTTCTGACCTACAGTGTTTTGGCTTAAAAGAAAAGATCAAGACACCCACAAATTCTTCACTTACCCCAAATCTAAACGAGATAACAAAAACTCTCTATGCACCAAAGAAGCATGCACACATACACCAACACACTCCAATAACAACAGCACTTCATAAAGGGGTAACACAGTGTAATGGTTAAGTATGTGGATTCTGGAGCCAGATATCAACCATTTACATATAAGTTGCATCCACTTGAACTCATTTACTATAAAGTGTGGATGGTAATAATAATACCAACTTCTTGGGGTTGTTAACATAATTAAATGGCATAACGTGCATACAGCTCTTCGAAGAGTAGGAACTCAATATACTTAACTATTCTTTTTGCTTGGTGGAATATAAAGGACCCTGTTGCCTTGCTCAGCATTTCCATCTGCAAGATGGAGATGGATCTGTGGTTTACTTGGCAAGCCAGAGCCAGTCTTCTCTTCCCCAGCATCTGGAAACATCTACTATGGGTTGGTGCAGGCAGAATCCCAAGCCCCCCTTAGGAATGGAGATTCCTTTTAGCTCAGTCTGAGGAGTATCCCAACCAGCTGCTGCTGCTGCCCTCTGCTGCTGCCATTGAGAATTACACTGAGCAGAGTCCTCGCTACTGCAAGACTGGCAAAATCTATTGCCATGTAGGGGGAGGGAATGATCAATGTGTACTTTGCTCAGGATTTGACTGACTATCCTAGAGTTCATTTTTCACAGCGCCTTTAACACTGCATTTTAAATGTACATACAATCTATGACTCTGGACATCACACTGAATGTTGTTCCTTGATACCTCAAGCTCAGACTGCAGGCAACTAAACATGACCAGTGCTCAAACCTGCTCCTCACTGACATTCTCATTTTGGTTTTTCGTGCCCTCATATCCCAGAGACTTGACTCCCAAGGTAGCTGTGACCTCTCCTTTCATATCCTTTCAGCTTCCCAAGTCAATCTCTCTTTCTTCCTTTAGGAGTTTTCAGCACCTCCAGAGAGGGCGTCCTGCCTCTTAGGTCTCTCCCCTTTACAGGTCTTCACAATCTGTCATTCTAAAGTTTCCCATTGATCTGAGTCACCTCTGCACTGTGCTTACTCAGTCCCAGTTCATACTGGGTCCAATGTCCTTCTACAGCTGATCCTTCCTGCTCCCAAGCCTTATCTCTCACAACAGCTGCCCAAGGCAACTCCCATTCTCCACATACACTGCCATTTCCTGCCTTTGTGGTTTAGTGGGCACTCTTTCTTTTGTTGAAAATACTCTCTTTTCTCTAAAAATTCTTCACTACTCAGCTCAAATGCTATTTCCTCCCCAGTCTCTAATCACTCCAGGAAACTTCTATAGCATTTCTTCTGTTCTACTCAGGTTGCACTTATCAGATGCATTGTTACTGGGTAAATTTCTTCTTAAAAGTTTTCTACTACCATATGAGCCAGCAATCCCACCTCTGGGGATATAGCCAAAGAAGATGAAATGAGTGTGTTGAGGAGATATCTGCACTCCCATGTTCACTGCAGCATGATTCACAACAGCCAAGATGTGGAATCTGCCAACGTCCGTCACAGATGAGTGAATGAAGAAAACGTGGTATGTAGACACTATTCAGCCTTAAAAAAGAAGTAAATCCTTTCATTCGTGGCAACATGGATGAACCTGGAGGACATTATGTTAAGTGAGATAAGATAGGCACAGAAAGACAAATGCTGCATGATCTCACTTACATGTAAAATCTAAACATGTAGAACTCACAGAAGTTGAGAGTAGAATGGTGGTTACCAGGTCTGGGTTGGGGATGGTGGGTGTGGTTGAGGAGATGTTGGTTAAAGGGTACAAAATATCAGTTAGAAGAAATAAGTTCAAGAGCTCTATTGTACATAATGATGACTATAGTTAACAATGTATTTCTGAATTTATGGCAATAAACTAAAAAACTTAAGTGAAATAGAAAAATTCTCTGAAAGACCTAAACTACCAAAGCTTAATCAAGAGGAGATATCCTGAATGAATAGCCCTCAATCTATTAATGAAATTGCATATATAGTTTAAAACCTTCTCACAAAGAAAACTCTAGGCACAGATGTCTTCACTGCTGTATTCTACCAAACATTTAAGGAAGAAACAATAGCAATTCTACACAACCTGTTCCACAAAACAGAAGAGGAGGGAACACCTGGCACCAATCCACTTTTCTCCCAGCTCCACAGCCCTGCTTCTCCTACTCCCAGCTCCATGACTAGGAGTTCACGTGCATGTGGAATAGACGTCCCAGACTGTAAGTTCAAGCTTCAGGCACAGCCACTGCAAACAACTACCCCTCGGGCAAAAGGGTGAGCATACCAATAGCTTTGAAAATAGAAAACTCACCTGGTGCTGGTCCATTCTCCCAAAGGTCAATGCCCCAGAAGAATCCAAATGTCAGTTCCAGGAGACCAAGGATCTTTGCTCTGTTAACTGATACATCCTGAGCCCCTAGAACGGTGCCTGCCATACAGTAAGTGCTTAATACAGACTTGGCGAATGAATGAAAAGGGATCCACACAATGCGAATGAGTGGCCATTCTTTTTTCTTAAAGTCGTACATTTGGGCTCTGAGCTGTTAAGGGCGTTATTAGTTGTTGGACTACAGGCACAACACAGATTATAGAGTGAAGGAGACAGGCAGTACATTTTGTGGAATTTAATTGAAATAAGAATTTTAAGTCACAGGTGCCCGTCACTTGAACTTTACCTTACTGTCCATTTGTGGCCAGCATCACTCCGTAGTGCCGTGTATTCTTACTGCCCTCTGGTGGTTAACTGTTTTTACTAAATTACAGAAATAACTGTAGTGCTATACATGGAATCAATCTCAAGATTGAGAGAGACTTAAAGGTCAACCAGTCCCACTAAATGTGCTGCAGAGAGCTAAACTTCAGGACATTAAAAACAGCAGAATATCTTTAGAAGTGGCATCATATCTTTTAACTTTTAAATTTATGTTGGCAGAATGGTAATTATTAAATGCCATCGGCCTCAACCCCTTGCTCCTCCTTTTCTAGAAATAAGGAAATGGAGACACAGTGAGGTTATAGCTGTCAGTCAACTGTCTTCATGTTGAGTAGTGACTAAAATTAATATAGTAAAAATCTCATCACAGGATGATTGGTGAATATATAAAATCAGATAATTCATGGGTCAAACCACATCTCCAAAACATCTGAAGAGAGACAAATCTGGATCATCTTTGAGGCTCATTTACTTTTCCATTTTGGTCACGTGGCAGAAAACTGGCTCCACAGGTCTGTGCTGACTCACTCAAATAGGAAGAGCCACTTCATCACTATAAATACGTAAAATATCTGGCACACGGAGAAGAGATCAATCTTTATTGAAATGTTGGTCATAGGGTGTAGAGCTAGAGCTGGGTCTGGAGCTCACAGACCCCTCAAGCCCATTCACAAACCCTTCACACGCAGGTCGATGAGCTAGGTAACCAGACAAAATGGTCCTTGGAGCCTTGGCTGAAGTAGGAATAGCCTTTATTCAGCACGCACACATGTAGGAGCTAGGCAGTACAAAGAGAAACTCAGAAACTCAGAAACTCAACTGCTACCGGCAAAGTCCAAAGAAAAACTGAGCAGCTGCCAGCAGGGTAAACATGCTCTATTGTTAGACTTGAGCTCTGCCAGCAGGCGCTGCTTCACAAACTCAAGAACACACAATAGCAATAAACTAAAAAGATACATGGGTGCACTGTGCACTAACTCCACCCATGCACAACCTGTTTACAAAGAAATGTGCTGCATGACCCCCAAACAGACCTAAGCCGAGGGAGCCTGACTAAATTATCCTATTTTTCCAACACAGGGCATATAGACTCTCTACGTAGTGCTCTTGGTTGTACTACAGCATCTTCAAGTAGTTATTTTTTGTATTTTGTCCAGATTTTATTATTATCTGCAAGAGAGTTGCCCCTCTTTTGCATCACAGAGTCAAATTGGGTTGTGAGATGCTCTTGTTACCAGCCTGTTTGTTCTGTTCCCACGATTGCAAACAGCAGACTAAAGTGTTGCTCTCAGAGTAAGCCCCTCACCTTTGAGAGGTATGTGTTTTGCTTCCTTTTTCTGAGATCTGCAGCTTTGGAGCCTCCGTGCTTTCTCCTACATGTGCCCTGCTTGATCTCCACTGCTTTTGGAAACCTCTTCACCTACATCACAATTTTTTTCTAGTTTCACTGAAAATAGAGGTTGCATTTCTACCCTGCTGATTTTACATGCTGTCTTGACACAAGAACCATCAAAGATTCATGCAGAATATAAGATGGGGCCAAGTCCAAACAATTATCAGTGGTTAATGGAATCATTACTTATTAAATGACCCTTTATACACTAGGCAACCTATGGCTGTAACCAGGGTTTCCATATACCAGAACTGTATTGGAAGTCTATAATCACATCTACATAATACGTAATACATATGCTGCTAGTTTTGACAGGTAAACTAATGTCTCCTTTGTCTAACAGGACATTTTTCTGTACTGTTTAAAAGGATTATGAATACATACCACTAGTGCCAAATGATACAGGTACAAAATAGGGTTTATTAGAGGAAAAACTTACAAGCAGAAAGTAGTAGAGTGCATGCAGCTGCTGGAATCTAATTATCTCACAGTTTAGGCCAGGTATAGAGAGTCTATATGCCTGTGACCAACATTTCAATAAAAAGTGTGCTAGATATTCTACGTATTTATAGTGATGTAGTGGCTCTACCTATTTGAGTGAATCAACACAGACCTGTGGAGCCAGTTTTCTGCCACGTGACCAAAATGGAAAAGTAAATGAGCCTCA